TTTTGCAATTTTTACTTTTTATGTTTTTTATAGCACAGAATTTATTGTTAAAAATGGTATACTTACATTTTTGATTACTAACCTAGAAATGTATAAAAAAATATATTTTCCATAACGTTTTAAAGGTAAAACTAGTAGACCCTTGGAGGCTTTTCTTGCCGATTTCCGCAACTTTACTTTTTTTAAACTTTAATGTCATTTTTTTCAGAACTGGTAATACATACAGCTGTGAAATTTTTACCATGTAGTCTTAGTGACTTATTCTAAACACAGACATAAGGAATTCATCATATCTTTAGTAGAAGCATGTAAAAAAAACAATACATTTTATTTCTATAAAAGCCCATAAAATAGTTATTTTTAATTTTAAATTAAAAATCTTGTGTCTGTGACTAGTTAATTAGTTAATATAAAAGTAAACCAAGTTTCACTATCCTACCTGTTCTAACTCCTGAGAAAAGTGACATTTAGTTAACATTACTAAAGATAGGACCTCGGACTCCCCTTAATACTTTGTTATTAAATGGCGAGGTATTTTAAGCCAAGTATGAATGGAGATGAGTGGCGCGATCGTGTAGTCTTTTTAGTGACTAAGGCCGACATTCCTTAGACACAGCTGTTAATTAATAGCTCATACCTAATGGCAACCTAAAGGACCTACAACAGTAGTTTATAGTGGAATCCGAACCACATTTTTGCCTTGGTATATACGAATTGGTCTAATTATCAGGATAGTACTGCGGATAGTCGTAGTACTCACTCGTGCGGACGTTAATCCACACCAGGGAGTATCGCATCCACAGTGCATGCCTATAAATATCTACAATTCGTACCTTGAATTGTCGGCATCATATTATCTAAAATGATCCCGTGAACACCTTTTGCTAGTTCCATATTTACTTATAGCCTGTATTTCTTACGATATTGGGATTTAATTTAATTTCTGATTCAAACCTCATTGGCACATTCTGTTGCTTTGTAGCTACTAGATTTGTTCCTTGTCTTTATCTGGATATAATTTGGTTTGAACTAATTGGAACGGCCGTAACAACAGTAACGACTTTTTATCTGATTGACGAAGTTAAAGCATACTTTTTAGTTACGTTACAGTACAGCTTAGAGGCTAAGAACATGGATTTTAAAATTGGCATTATTATTATACCAAATTAAATTAAACTAACCTAACCTTACGTAGCCTAACAGCCGCAGGCGTAAAAGATTGGCGGCAATCTCCTTAAAAGTGTCCAACTATGGAGTAAACTAATATTTTTTAAGAGTTTCCTACCTTCTAGTGAAGAAACTACTGATCTTTATGATGAGAAATGGTTATTTGAACAAATATTATGTTTGTCCAGTGGGTAGAGGTGGCTGTGGTACATCACAATGAAAAAGTAATCGGTTTCTGGTCTAGGTTTGCCACATACGGTAATAGCTTACCGTAGGCTAAGCTCAAGGTTATTAAAAAAAAGTGTTTTAATAACCTTGAGCTAAGCTCCCCCATAGGGGAAATCGTAAAAATAATTAACATCTAGCTTGTACTCGCGGCTACAACCATAAATTTTGCACTACGTACAAAAATAAATCACAACCAAACCAAAATACACCCGCCAAAGCAAATTTTGCAGGCTAAGCGAATTTCTGTTTACCTGGTTGGATTTTCAATTTGGCCTAAATCTACTAACTTAACAATGCTTAAATATAGTAGATTAAGTAGATTAGAGGAGGCTGGTTTAACAATTTCTACTTACCTAGGTTTGCTGCCACAGAAGTAAAGTGTGTTTTAGTTAAAAATTAATAGCTTAGTATTTAATAAAAATTTTTAAATATTGCATTGTGATCCATTTTTGAGCTATGTTTCAAGTTTCAAGTCTCTAGCTCATCGGGAAGTTGGTTTAAATCGATTGCTAAAATTTGTACCGAACAGACAAGAAAGCGAGCTAAAAATTGCCAAGTTTGATATACATGTACCTATAAACAATAAAGCTAAAACAAATTACTCCATAAGAATAACGTGGACATTATAAATTTAGAATTTCTTAAATTATCTCCGTAAACAATAACCGTAAAAGGGTACCTACCTACTTCAAAATATTAAATAATTTGTTTTTAAGCTCTTTAAAATAGTTTAGTGAAAAATTGAAACTTTTTATGTTTTGACGGTGAAAAATTAGAAAACACAATTTTTATCTCGTAAATCCCTTCATGACACCCCGTTCCTATGGTTCAATAATAATGGTCGCTACCGCTCCCGCTCTTGGTGCATAAACGGAGCCTTAGGCTGGTTTTATGCACCGCGACAGTCGCGTGTCGCGTGTCGCGGTGCGACTCAAATTCTATTGAGTTGAATGGGAGCATTTATGCACCGCGACAGCGACAAACTGTCGCGTGAGTGAATCTGCGATCTCTAAATACCCGCGACAGGTTTTAGAATCGCAGCTTCAAAAAATGTGTCGCGCGCGGTTCAAGTTCTATTGGATCAAATGGGCACGTTTATGCACCGCGACAGTAGTATTTTTCATACTCCACGTGGTATATTCTCCATATATTTCTATTGATTAATGTTAATAACTAATATATAAATGAGTTCTTTACCCTTTATTTGTAATATAAATTACATCATTTTATTATGTAGTGACATTTTTAATAGGGTTGACCCAATTCCAACTGTAAATTGTATGCGTTGTTAAAATAACTGGGATTTTGTCATTAACGTGTACAACACTACAGGGTCTATATTTAAACAACTTAATAATCACTTCTACATCACAAACACAACATACAACACTGGATTGAGAACAGACTGATTTCTTTAATTCCCCCACCCCGGATGTGAGTTTACGCGACAAAAAAGTGTCGCTGTCGCGTGACATTTTGGTCAGCCGCAAGACGTGGCGCGACTCGCAACTCGCGACTGTCGAGGTGCATAAAACCAGCCTTAAGGTACGTTTTGCTTGGAGCGACAGGTGCGACGGTCGCGCAGCGACTGTCGCCGAGCGGCAGTCGCGGGGTGGTAGACTGTTTTGCTTGGAGCGACAACTTCTTCTTCCTGGCGTCACGAGACGTGGTACCGTCAGTGCACCTAACCTCAAAAGTGCGCACTAAGTATAAAGTCACTAGATAAATTCGATAAATTCACTTAGTAAAACAGGTAAAACTTAACAATAAAGTACTCTTTATAGGCCTAGTTATTTGTTATGAGTAACATTCCAAAACTGCCATGTCACAAGCCAAAATGTAATAAAATTACTCAATTGTACTGTAGTACACAAGCATAACTTGAATTGGAAATCAGTGTTATAAACAACCTCCTCACAGAGTGAAAATTATATTTTGTTGAATGTATTGTAAATGAAAAAAATAACAATTACATTATATACTCCATTAATATTTGAATAGCCTCTTCTTAACACATTACTTTAATAATTGGTATTTTATATATTTACATATGACTCCTGACTTTTGAGCCAATTTGATCAATAACCATTTATACAGAACAATATTTTATTAAATCACCTAAACGAAAATGTAATTAGAATATTTAAAGTCGACAATCTAAATAATCTACTAACATGTTAAAATAACTTACAATATAATAACATAATATTAAACTAACCTGGCGTTGTCCTTTATTCCTTGGTCTTTGTAGGATATAATATAAAGCGCGGGGTGTTTTGCCACTTCTTCTAATAAACTGTCGTCTTCCTCACCACTTAAATTAAACTTAATCCTAGACGTTGTCCGACGCCATATATCGAAAATAAAAGGTCATTGAACTTGTCAAAATGCTCTACACTATAAAAACAATCAGAAATGTAACTGTCGCTAAGCGACTGTCGCTCCTGACTGGTCTAGGAGCAGTACTCAGCGACTGCAGCTCGCGGCTCTAGCGACAGTAGCTCCAAGCAAAACAGGACTATGCAAAACCCCTTTGATCAGTGTCCCGCGACTGCCGCACCTGTCGCTCCAAGCAAAACGTACCTTTAGATCGCACAGTAAGGCCCCGTTTATGCACCAAGAGCGGGAGCGGTAGCGACAGCGGGAGCGATTTTCAACACCATTGAGTTAAATGGGGCTGATTATGCACGAAGAGTGATAGCGGTAGCGGTTGACCTCCCGCTGCGGTTTCTAATTCGACCGCTGTGTAGTTAGAAATCGCAGCGGTTGCTTGGGATAGAGCGGTTTTCAACTACATTTAGTAAAATGAGACTGTTTATAGGCCTACATGGCGGGAGCGGTAGCGATTGCTGCCAGGGTTGCCAACTTGACCCATGCGCACGTGCATACTTAGGACTAATAGTTGAGTTAACTATTTGGCAGAGTTTGAGTTGGCAAGACAGTGTCCCCCTTCCATTCTGCGTTGACCAACCGCTACCGCTATCGCTTGCACAACTTTGACAAAATTTTCACAGCGGGAGCGGGCCCGCTATCGCCCCGTTTCCGCTCTTGGTGCATTAACGGTAACAGCTATTTCCCTATAGGGAAATTCGCTATAAGGTGACACGACTAGATGCTTGGCAGTTTCAATTTTTTTAACTTTAACTTTTTATTTCGGCCTATGCCTTTAGTTTTGTTGCGTATTTCCTAACAGTTATCCGTAGTCCAGAAATTCCTCTAAAACTGCTTTCTTCTATTCTGTTTTGTTTTGCCATATGTTTTTTTCAGACAGGTGTATTTTCATAAACAAGATGCACTTAATTTTAACTTATATTTTCATTTGAACTTTTAATATTTTAAACAAGATAGTTTTTAACTTTTATTTGTATTTTATTTTAGTGATGTCATTACAGGCCTCAAACTCTTATTGGGCACCAATGCCGCAACTTCCTAGAGTGAACTCTTCGAACGCACCGCAGCAGTTGTCGAACGCCGCAATGCTTCGGGGCTTAGATCGTCCAACGTTTGGTCAAGACTTGAACTTCAACTCACCTGTTAGCAGAAACGTCCGTACCGATCCGCTCCCTAGATTTTCTTTGCTTCATATCAACACCGGGAGCTTTGGCATGCCTTCAAGTTTGCCTTCAAGCTCTAATTCTTCAAATTCCGTGAACTCCCCTAGATCCACCATCAGCCGCAACATCTGGGGTAGTCAGGTGATTTCCCCTACCAGCTCGAACTCTACGGGAAGTACTTTCAGTGGAGTGGACATCACTGATCTGGCAAGTTTTTTGAATTCATCACCACCTATTAGGCTGGGAGCTGCTCAAATAAAAGAAATGGCCGATTTGAGGTCCATGAGAGACTTAAATGGGCCGAACACTGCAAGGAACGTCTCTATGTTTCCACCTCGTCAATTGTATTCCTCTTTATCCACTGCTTCTGTTCCTCCTGACGGACCATCTGGTACCGCCTCTTGGGGTGGAGAGCTCCCCCCTCGGCGCTTTGAAATCAACCCGACTTACTCCTGCAAGATCTTTGTAGGCGGTGTTCCATGGGACATGACCGCAGAAGACTTAACCATCTTCTTCTCACCTTACGGAAGAATTCTCGTAGAATGGCCTGTTAAAGACACTGTCACTCAACCCAAGGGGTATGTTTACATAATCTTCGAAGATGAGGTCAATGTAAAAGTACTGCTCAACAACTGCGTCCGTGATACCAGTGACAACAACTTGAAATACTATTACAGACTTATCACAAGGTCTCTGAAACATAAGGTTGTTCAAATAATTCCTTGGCGAATAACCGACTCCAACTTCGTGATGGAACCGACACGGAAGCAGGACCCCAACCTCACAGTTTTTGTTGGAGGACTTCACGGAGCCTTGACTGCAGAAGGTTTGTTCATAATTATGAACGACCTTTTCAACGGTGTGAGCTACGTCGGCATCGACACAGACAAATTCAAATATCCCATTGGCTCTGCCCGAGTCACATTTAACAACAAGTATTCCTACATGCAAGCAGTCATGGCTGCGTACATCGAAATAAAGTCGAATCTGTTCAGCAAGAAAGTACAAGTTGACCCGTACCTGGAAGATGCCATCTGCTCCAAATGTGATCTCCGCCCGGGGCCATTATTCTGCAAGGAGCTGTGCTGCTACAACTACTTCTGCCATGGCTGTTGGTTCAGTCATCATCAGGCATTGTTCATGATAAATCATCGACCTCTAGCAAAAACCTCAAAGTACAAGAGGAGCATGCAAAATGCACGTTACGTGCAGTTTAGTCATTGCTAGCTTATTCATTGTCAACAGCAAAAATCCACACAACAGGCCACTTGGATTATTACCCTTAAAAATCCACACAACAGGCCACTTGGATTATTACCCTAGCATAGAACAATAACCTAAATATTGTTCCTCCCCTTCGTTAGTTAATCTGGTTTTGAAAATTCCTATCAAAAATGCTGGATTGCAAAATTTTAATTGATTTTACTGTTTAATTTTAATTTACGGATGGTTCCGTAGTAAAAAAGAGTTTAAAAAAATAAAATTCCAATATTGTTGTGTAACACTTAAAATAAAATAATTTTAAATGTAAAAAATCAAATAAATTTACTACTTTTCTGGCAGAAAAGCCATGCATGTAGCATGTGCACTAAACTAACATTATCATTTTAATTTTTAATAAAAAAATAATTTGAAAACAACAAATTATTGCTAAGCATTGGTTTACATTTACTAGGCCTAAATGTAATGTTTTGGTCGATTTTAAAAATGTTTTTTAGAAATAAAGTGTGGATTTTAATAATACTAATATATATGAATAAGCTTGAATCTTATGGAGTTTTGTAATATTTTATGTTTTCAACTATTGTGCAATAAAACTGATTGTTTAATATGTTATTTATACTTTAACCTAATCCCCCTTAAACAAAAGTGAGTTTGATAAATGCCTATAAATCAGAGATGCTAATAGTGAGTAATTTGGATGGTGTTGCATAAAATTTAATTTCTTCACAAACATTACTATGACTGTAATCAATATAACTGTTGAAACAATTTTTTTTGGTTACAAACTGTACTCTATTTCGCCCCATCTATACAGTACGCTAAGCCGAATTTTGTCAATAGAATTCCTCCTTCACTTTTAGACCGATTTTGGCCCAGACCGAAACGGCCCTGATGTGTAGTTTTGTAAAGTGGTTTTCATTTTTTTAATCTTTATTGGTTTGGGTAGGATCTTCAATTAAAGTTGGATTTTCTCCCTTAAGGTAATATAGATGGGGGAATAAATTTAGTTTAAATTCCTTCTGTTTTGTTTATGTTTGATTGACAGTTTTAATAAAAGCACTAATCAGATGATTTGTTTAAATTTTAGCTCAAAACAAAGATAATTATGTGAATTTTGAATTATCGTGTTTTATTTTATAGGGAATGGAGTAAATGGTTTATTATGGAAGTATTTAGTAAATTTGTTTATGATTTGAATTTAATTATTTGTTGGAGTTGCGTTTACAACGATGTAATAATTTTTTGTGATATATTAATTTAGATGAAGAGAAGATTATTCAGTCGTTTTTTTTTATCAAAGGACGTGACAAAATCCTTTTAACCTTAACCTTCAAACTATGGCTCTTAGACCATTTATTTTCCATTTACTTTAAGCTGAATTAGCCTAACCTGAATGGATATTGCCAGGATATGAAAATGTAAAAATTGAAAATAGAGGAAGAGGGGGCTCAGTAAGGGATTTGGTAATACATAAGACAACCTAATAATACTGATGTAACAGGTCAAACTAATATTAACCCGAGATAATTATAGTACTAGGCTCAATTATTGTATGTCATGTTGTTACTCGCTCTACTTCAATTGAGAAAAAAATCAAATGGATTATTTACTTCTTTTTGTTATATCGGCAAGGTTACGTTGCCAGTTCCATAAACTTACACAAGGTTAATGGTTGTGACCAAAACAAAATAGTAAATGCCAATTATTAGCACATTATCTTGCGACTTCCAGTAACGCAAAGTTGGAAGTCACCAACAATCAAGACATTTCAAGTCAAAAATAAGAAGCTTCAACAACTCAATTGCTAAGGTAAGTGTTAGTGGTGATATTAGACCAAATACAAGAGAAGGACCTTTTTGTATGGATTCCATCGTAAAGTTCACCACAGAACTTACGGAATTACAGTCGCTACAGTCAAGTTTATTTTTATGATTCAGGAGAGGTAAATAATATACTCTGTTCTATAAGAGAAAATAAAAATCGTTTTATACTTTTATAAAGTATGCGGAGCAACTACTTCTCCTACATTCTTTAAATTAAAAGTTTTGGTATTGTTGCAACATTGATACCTTGTATACAAAGAATATACAGCCTTATTAGTTAATTAATTTACACAATTTTCATAATATAAATGCCATACAAAGCAAATTTAATGTTTATATTACCTGCTCTACAGTTCAGTTTTCAAGCTATAAACTAAATTCATCCCAAAACATCTAACGAATTCCAAACCAGTACCGGCTGACTGTAACCATTGGTTATTTTTACGATACATAGGTTACACCGAGGAGTTGGTTTTATCTATGGTTATAAGATCATGAAACTATGAAACTCTAAGTTTGTATCTACATGGTTATACAATGATAAACTTAAATAAGCCATTATATTTTAAACATCAAAATTAAGGAGTAAGAGTCAATTCAAATGTTATTTCACAATTTTCTGATCCTAGAGCTCTTTTCAGGGTAGATCCTGATACCAGCACCATATCCACTACCTACTATTCTAGCCAGTACCATTGACTATATATACCTACAGGTATATATATATACCTTTTGACTATATATACCTATAGGTATATATAGTCAATGGTACTTTACACTACTTGTACCATAGACAAAAATAAATAAATAGCTTGTACCTACCACCGTTGTTTGATTACTAACAATCACTACTCATAACAGTTTTCGTTTATTTGTCTTAACAGCTGACGTTCAAAGCAGTAAAATTTTACTTATTTTCTCTAAATCCTCGAACCTCATTTGTTTGTTAAAATCAATCATCACCAACAATCTTCATTCTGACAAGGCTCCTGGTTACGACCGCATAACTGGTAAAATACTTAAAGAGCTTCCACGAAAATGAATAATGTTTTTGACTTATTTTATTTAATACAATGTTAAAACTTGAATATGTACCAGATCATTTCAAAAGAGCACAATTGATAGTCATTCCGAAACCATGGAAGCCTCTTGACCAGGTATGTTCTTACCGACCCATAAGTCTTTTACCAATAATGTCTAAGTTATTTGAAAAACTTCTTCTGAAAAGGATACAAGAACTTATTGGCGAAGATGTGATTCCTGCACATGAGTTTGGTTTCAGACGGAAACACAGTACCATAGAACATGTTCACCGAGTTGGTTGACGTGATACGTCAATGTATGGAAGAATAAAAAGTTTTGTTCAGCTGCCTTCTTGGATGTTAGCCAGGCATTCGATAAGGTGTGGCATGTTGGCTTGTTATAAAAAGTAAAAAAGTTTTTACCCCATTCAATTTATAGCATTTTAAAATCCTACCTTCAAAACAGGACTTTCCAAATTAAATATCAAGACGTCCTCACTAACCTACGTCCAATTGAATCTGGGATTCCTCAAGGAAGTGTCCTCGGGCCGTTTTTGTATATTCTCTACACAGCAGATCTCCCAGAAAATGAGTTGGTAGAAATTGCTACATTTGTGGATGATACTGCAGTTTTGTCTGTTCATCGTGATCCATTTCAAGCTTCTCTAAATTTACAGCAAAATCTGAACATAATTACTGATTGGTTTAAGACATGGAGGTTCAAAATTAATGAAACTAAATCTGTCCACATTTCTTTTACTCTAAATCAAAATTCTTGTCCTCCTGTCACAATAAACAACACCCAACTTCCCGAAGTAACTGAGGTTAAATACTTAGGTATCCATTTAGATAGGAAGTTAACTTGGAAAACACACATTTGGAGAAAACGGCAACAACTAAATTTAAAATCTAATCAGTTAAATTGGCTCATCGGAAGAAAATCAAAACTTAGTCTAGAAAATAAATTATTGCTATATAAAACTATATTGAAACCAATCTGGACATATGGAGTGCAACTATGGGGCTCAGCGAGTACTTCTAATATAGAAATTCTCCAAAGATACTAATCGACAATGCTGAGGAAGATAACAAATGCACCATGGTATGCCAGCAATAGAACACTACATCAAGACCTTAAGATGCCTACAGTTAAGGACGAAATCATGACCATAAGTGAACGATATATTACGAAATTGGAATCACATCAAAATCATTTAGCTCTTAACTCATTAAACAACATGGATACAATTTACAGACTTAAGAGGCCATCAATTCTGGACCTGCCCTTCAGATTTTTGTTAAGTGTTTTTATTGGAAAATTTGTTGTAATAGCATTGCTGAAATAGCAAAAGAATGCTTAACAGCTATTTTTAATGTTCCAAAGTCAATTTTTCGTATTACATAGTATTTACTTATTGTTCAATATATAATAGAACAGATTGTTAAGTAAAAAAAAAAAAAAAATAGTGTTGTAAAAAAACAAACAAACAAAAAACCGTGCGTACAGCAAAGTAAGTAAACAATGCGGTAAAGTAGATATTTTCAATTCTTGATTGAAATGGCTAGTTAAAAAAAAAAAACAATAATAAAAGCTTTTAAGGCTAAGCCATTCTCTACACATAAAATATTTGTGCATATTTAGGGGTCGAACCCCTCCCTCTCTCTCGCAGTCAATAACGACTAGAATAACAACACACCCAATACATTTTTTATAAGTTTTTCACAGCACCCCTAAATCCCACAAATATGTAATAATCAATGCAAGCTATTCCTAGAACCTTGCACCGGATGCATGGTTATTGTATAGATGAAGTTTCCCTTACAGCGGCGCCGCAAAGGCCGTGAGAACATTGTTCTTGTACTTTTACTATTTTAGAACGTAAACAATTTTAAACCTACGATAGCTATTACACGTGTATCGTATAAGAGTAGAGTACTGCAAATTTTAACAATTTTATATTTCAAACAATCTCACTAAATTGGCACTCGAGTAAAATCTATAAATATATAAATAACATGTTAATGATGGTCAAATTTGATTGTTCATCGTTCACAAATTCGAAAATCTCTAATTTAGTACTGGATTAGTGGCTCGTGTCATCAGTCTCAAAAAGAGCTATAGATGGTTATTCTATGTTTGGTATTTTAATCACTTCCT